TATCACCATTGAGAAGTTGTGAGTTGCACTGTAGTCAAGATTCTTTAATGGGGTTATATAGAAGGGATTATGTACTATAAGGCTTTTTCAGGGGGATACTTGGAGTCCAGACTGTAGGTCATCTCAGGATTGCATCGTCGACTTGCGATTCTTCGGTGTTGTAAGCAAGCTCAAACTCACTGTGTGGCGTGCATAAGACGAACAATTCCTCCTATAGCATAGGTCCGGGTAGGCCATTGGGAAGGTGCTTCCTTAAAAGGAGATCCTAACCCAAAGGGTAAACTGGATTTTAGAGACAGGTCTTGGGAACAACTAGTGCCCGGTGCAGGGTTTAGGGTATCATAGCTGCAACAAGGGAGCTATAGCTTCCGAACAGCAAACGAGACACTTAACCCTCGACTCTATCTGTGGATACCACACTGTGATTCACATCTTTATGCCCCAACCGCTGATCACTGCACACGTTTTCTTTTCCAACCGCTAATTACTTTGTCTCTGGAATTATCAAGAACAGACCCAATACATTCGTTTCTCAGGGACACGCATGAGCTCCTGAGGAAGCCCCCATGCTCATGCAACTTGTTTCACTGTAAATTCTCACATGGGTGGTTGTCAAAATTATGGTCCCTTTTTGGATCCCTATTATAATATGGCACCTAAGTACCCAAAAAGGGACCATAATTTTGACAACCACCCACATCCTAACACATCGTAAGCCTCAATCAGATCTCAGCCAGGGTCCCTGGGGCCCTATGCCTGTGGATGACCACCAGCGACACGAGCTCCAAGCGCAGAACCGCCGGCAGCATGAACAAAAGCAGCGAGGCTTAACCCCTAAGGCCTAAACCGTTTTACGAGAATGGGTTGATAGGATCATTCAGGGTTCTTTAGGAATGACATCGAATTCTTTGGTTCCTGGTGCTTGAAAGTTGACAGTCGGGCTTGGGAGTTTGCAATGTGAGCTATAGTGTAAACTCCTAGTATACCCCTTCAGAACCCCTATAATAGTCCCCTATATAGTCCTTTGAATAACCTCCTTTAAGGAGTTTAGATTATGGTTCATGTGGGCACAGGGATCCGGATTCAGAGCGGGGTATCATCCGGGGGCCCTAAGCCGAGGTGCAATAAACCTCAACGAAAAGCCTCGAACAAAACCCCCAAACCCTGAACCCTACACCTCAGTCAGGCGAGATGAGCGAAGTCTTGCAGCGACAAGGGTGTAGAGTTTAGGGTTTAGGGTTTATGGTATAGGGAAGGCTGAGGGTTGGCATGCAAGACATCGTAGGATTAAATTCTTGGCTTCGTGAAGCTGTTGCAGCTTCATGGCAGGATGAAAGCCGACTGACGAACGTTCGCTTACTGCGCTTACTGGTTCTTAGCAGGAAATAAGGGCATATAATCCCCATATAACCCCTGTATACTTTATTCCCTACTAAGAACCGCTAAGTTCACCTCCAATGTCAGACCTTAAGCCCTAAGACATCCTCGGCCGCCTGATCCAAACCTCCCAATCTAATGGGGTTTCTCTAAGTTATAGGTTTAGGGTCTAGGGTTATAGGGCCCCCGGTAAACACGCCTCAATGATGTAGTAGTCTGGAAAAAGCAAGCAGGAAGGGGACCCATGCTCTTGTCCGAACTCGGCATTTAGAACCCTATCCCCCTGAGACCCAAGCCCCCAAGCCCTCAACCTGAACCCTAAACCCAAAGCCTCAACCTGAACCCAAAACCCTCAACCTGAACCCTAAACCCTAAGCCTCAACCTGAACCCTAAATTTTAAACCCTCAACCTGAACCCTAAACCCAAAGCCTCAACGTGAACCCTAAATCCTAAACCCTCAACCCTCAACCCTAAACCCTAAACCCTCAACCCCACATCCCTAAATCCAACCGTCCCTAACCAAGGCGTGCCATGCAGAAGCGGGAAGAGGAGATGCGGCAACAGCAGCAGGCGGCTTTTAGGGCTTAGGGTTCGGGGTTTAGGGGTTTAGGGTTCAGGGTGTAGGGTTTAGGGTGAAATTTAATGATGTTGGGCATGGTGTGCTTTGGAGCCATGTCTCTCTGACGGCATCTAGCGATGGTCCTCAGAAACTGCCAGGCACGTAGCCCTTTGTTGCTGCGAGTATGAAGGCTGCATGGTTGTCGTAGCGCTACAAGGTAGTTTCACACAAATAGTGGGGGCCCTACATTAACCCCCAAACTGCTATAGTCCTTGTTGTTGGGACCCTTCAAAAATTACGCCTAAATTTGGAAACGCCCGCCGTCTTGTAAAACCAGGATAAGCCGGGCGCCCACAGCAACTTCCCCATGAGCTGCAGGATAGGACCTGCTGAGAACATTACATGAGCTTGTAGGGTTTAGAGTTTCGGATGTAGGGTTGAGGGTTTATGGCTTCGGGTTTAGGGTTGCCAAGGGATATTGGGGTAGTGGAAAAGAATGCCGGAACTACCAGATAATGGAGAATCAGCTGGACAACCAGATGGAGGATTAAATGGAAACTGGGGTTATATAGCGTTTGTAGGGATGATATGAGTTTCTGCCACTATTCGGTCCGCAAGGGATAGCGGAAAAATGGAAAAGAAGATCGAAGCTACCCTTTAGGGGAGGATCAAATGGACAAGAAGCGGGCCATGGAAACCGGGTTATATAGTGGTTTGCTGGGATTATATGAGTACACTCCCGGAAACCAATATGGAAACCCAAAAAGGGCCCGAAAAGGGGACTATATGGGTTTCCATGTTAGTTTGGGGGGTGTATTTGTCAATGTTAGGGTTACCAAGGGACCAGTCAGGGTGGACATGGGCGTCCCTTTCGTAGCTTAGTAATGCTTAGGATGCCCTAAGCCCCAAACCCTATGGAAAATCTATACGATAGCGCACATGTTGCAAGAAGGAACCTGTAGCCGAAGTGGTTTAGGGTTGAGGGTTTTCTTCCTATCGTCCTAATCATTACGCTCACCTAGAATCGACAACACATAGCCCAACGTTCGGGTTCCCCCCAAACTCCTAACCCCTATACCGTAAAACCCTTGAGCCTCAAATCCTAAAACCCTACACTCTAAACCCTAAACCCTAAATCCTAACCCTAAACCCAACAACACGAGAGAGCAAGCGCGTGGTGAGCAGGCGGAGGCCATGCGGAAAGCAGCAGCCGAAAAAGCCGCTCAGGAGGACTTGGGCCATTTTCCTCGCAAATATGTTGTCTTAGGTTTAAGGGCTTCTGGCTTAGGATTTAAGGGCTTCGGGCTTAGGGCTCAGGGCTCAGGGTTTAGGGTTCAGGGTTTAGGGTGTAGGATTTAGGGTTTAGGGACATCGGCTTCCCTTTACATATCCCTGAAATTCTATAGAACCACTCCGATGCGTTGGACTTCTGCCGTTCTCGTTTGACTGTGCCTGCACTTCCGACAGACATGTTGAAGCCGGTCGTTCGTGAGCATTGGGCCGTGGGCCCAGTAGTAGCGCCTAAACGACCTATGCTGGGTTGCTGTTAAGGAACTGAAATTAAGTTACCATGATGGGTATATATAGTAAATAATAGGCTTTCCCCAATACAGTAACTTCATTTAAGTTCCTTAACAGCAACCCAGTATATCCCCTGCCCTCGCTGCCAGTTGCCTGTTCACTGTCCGCATATTGAGAGACACAGCCTCGCCAGGGAGTTCCTGCCCAGCTTGGCAATCTCTCTTGTCAAGGAAAGTGTTGCAGAATGCTGGCTTCAGGGTCCAGAATTTGAATTTGGACAGCAAGTAACAGGATAAAAGAGGTCGAAACTCAGCATGAAGTGACATGGATTGCCCTGAAGGAACAGCAGCGGAAAATCGCGGAGGCCAGGAAGAAGGAGCAGGCAAGGCTTCTAGAGTTCTGTCGGCTTGAGCATGGTTTATCAGGGGTAGGTTTGAATGTAATTTTCAAATATATAATATAGCAGTTTCCATTTCATGTTCCATAATCTTTTCCCCTAAGTAACCCTGGACCCTAAACCCTCAACCCTAAACCCTAAACCCGAACTAACCCTAGACCCTAGACCTAAACCCTAACTAACCCTAGACCCTAGATCCTAAACCCTAAACCCTAGGCCTTCCGCCCTTGATGAGGAGGTTCAGGCTTCAGCCTTTATGCTACTGGTGCTTTAAGGGAGAGTGGGGGAGTGGATCCCCATACGAGGTGAATGCTGGCTTATGCCTCCTCTGACATGTTGCTGTTTGCTATGATGGGGGTTGCCAGTAGCATTAGTTGTTGCATGTAGTCCATCATTCTTCTATTCGGTCTAGCTTGTGTGGTTGCGGCTGAGGTATTCGTAAGCTAATTTCAATTGCAGGTCTTGCTCTACTGTGCTTAGACGTTCAGGTTTCAGGTTGTATTTTGGCTCTTCCCTACTCTTGCTACCCTCTGCCGGAAGCCTTAAACCCAGGGGTTTGCGCCCTAAACCGAAAACCCCTAACCCCTACGTAAACCCTGAACCCCTAAACCTACCAAGATAAGCAGTTCTCAATGGGTGCCAAAGCCGCTGAAAGGAGGAACGACGGAATCTCCCAGGTTGAGGGTTTGGGGTTCAGGGTTTAGGATGCGAAAGGGCGTACGGTTTAGAGTCTAGAGTTTAGGGTTTAATATCTGCCACTCCCCAAGATCCACCTACTGGTTCTCAGTAGGGAAGAAGGGGTTATAATCCCATATACTCCCTGTAGAATAGTTTCCCTTTTTTTCCATACTAAGAACCAGTGAGTTCAGTACCCTCAGGGACCGAATTAAGTTGGGCAACAAAATCAACATCAACGCCAGCGAATTGCTCAAGCTCAGCATTCGAAAGTGCCTGGCTCGACTGCCTGCCATGTCTCCGCTCAGTCTCGCGGGCTTCCTGCTGCCAGCTCTGGCTGTTGCTCAAGGCCGGGGCCGATTTTCATTTTTTGTTGCTTTTAATTCCTATATAACCCTTATAAAGCTATATATATATATACATATTTATACATATGTATTTTTATGGGGCTGCCAAACCTATCTCGGAAGGAGGCTATGAAAAGTACATGGCCGAGTATGCCGCGCCGTACCAAGGCTACATGCAGGGTGGCGGAGGCAGCAGTGGGGGAGGCGACTACCAGAAGTACTACCAGAAGTACATGACTCAGTATGGTTCTGGGGCAGCTGGCAGCTATGAGAACTTCATGTCCAAATATGCCGGTGGCTATGCCAGCAAGTACATGCCTTCTTCAAGTGCTGGGTCCCAGGGGTCCAGTGCTGCTCAGCCCGTCGCCTTCGCTGCCGGCCACGGCTCCGATGAGAGCAGCTCGAAGTCTCAGTCCTCCGATCGCCCCTCTGCAGAAAGTCCTCAACAAAGTGGCTACAAGCAGTACATGGACTACTCTAAGTACACCCAGAATGCCGGGCAAGGCGGTGATTACAAGCAGTACATGGACTACTCCAAGTACACGCAGAATCACGGCTCGCAGGGCGGCGACTACAAAAAGTACATGGCATCGTACGCGGGTGATTACAGCAAGTACATGAATGGACAGGGCTCGCAGGGCGGCTCCCAGGGTGGTGATTACAAGCAGTACATGGACTACTCCAAGTACACGCAGAATCATGGCTCGCAGGGCGGCGACTACAAAAAGTACATGGCAGATTACTCAAAGTACATGCACCAGGGACAGAGCGGCCAGGGAGTCTCTGCAGCTTCCGTGTTCCTGGCGGCCTCCGGACCCAACGCATCGGCGCACTCCGAAAAGCAATCTTCTTCTTCCGAATCCGAAGAGCAATCTTCTTCTTCCCATTCTGTTTCTTCGAAGCCGAAGGAGGCTGAAGATCAGCGTGAGCAGCGCGAGCGTGTCCGTGAGCAACGTGAGCGCCAGCAGGAGAAGCAGGATTTGCGCCACGAACTGCAGTCCGAGAAGGAAAGCCTGCGTGCCGAGCTCGCATCAGAGAAGGCCCGTCTTAAGAACGAGCTTGCTGCTGAAGCCAAGCAGGCTGCTGCAAGAGCCGCCAAGGCCGCCCAGGCTGCCAAGGAAGCAGCTGAGGCTGCTGGCCACAGCTCTGCACCAGAGCTTCTGGTTTCGGGCGAGCAAAACACGGAGCAGTCCAAGGAGAACGCCGAGCTGCAGCAGGAGCAGCAGCGGCTTCATGATGAGTTGGCTGCAGAGAAAGCACACCTTCGGAAAGAGTTGGCCGCTGAAAAGGAGCACTTGCGCCAAGAGCTGGCGTCCGAAGCGGCGAGGGAGCAGAAGGAGCAGGCGGACGAGCAGGCAGCAGAGAAGGATCAGCAACCTGCTTCAAACTCTGGCCCCCACGTGCTTGCTGCCGTCCGTGCTGGCCCTCATCCACTGTTCGTTGCAGTTGCTGCTTTGTTCGCCTGCGCGCTCATCGTCGCTGGTGGTGTTGCGGCTGCGCGTGTATGGCGCCGGCGCCAAGTGGTAGAAGAAGCTGACGACTACCTCATGTATGTGGAGGCTCCCCTGACGCTCGCGTAAGGTGTACCATTGCAGCTTTCTTGCTCAACTGAGCAATTCGTCTGGCCTAGACAAAGCTGCTTAGTAGTTCTGTGAAAGGGACCGTATTAGTTTAACCTGAGGTTCAATCGCTTCTTCTTATCCATGACCGGAGCGTTATTGCTTACACTACCGTCTAGCCAGCTGTGTCTTGAGTCTTTTACCCAGGGCTACAAACGCCAGCCTTGAGTCATAGTCTAAACTCCTAGTATGCCCCTTAATAAGCCCTAGAATACTGCCTTATAGAATCCTAATCTAACCCCCTTCAAGGAGTTTCGACCCTAAACCATATAATATATCCCCATATAACCCTATATAATCCCTTACACAACCCGCTTGAAGGAGTTTAGGCTCTGGTTCGCTTGAGTCTGGGTAGGAACCACTTGCGAGCTTCCAGTGGGCCATGCTCTAGTGAGGGTTACGTAGCCAATGGTTTAGGGTTTAAGGTTGAGGGTTTAGGTTTAAAATTAGGGGTCCCTCATCGGGGGGTACCCAAAATACGGACTATCGTATTTTGGGATCAATATATTAAGGTCCCCCTTTTTGGGAAACTAGCAAATACAACTCCGGAAGGGTTTTTGCCCAATGAAAACGTTTCCTACCTGGAAGTGAATTTTATTTTGATTTCAAGTTTCGCAGGGCCGAGGAGGTACTCAGCCAATTCCAACAGCCAGTGGACTTTGCCACAACCCAAAGTGTCCACGCCACAGCCACCTGGAGAACACCAAGACCTAAATGAGTAGTACTTTATTTGGGGATACTATGGTACCCATGATACAGTAAGATTCTGTCCTCCTTTTGGGGTATAATATTTTACATAAGGAATATGATCTTACTTGGTCCAACCACCAAAAAAAACGCTACTCAAATGAGACATAATCCCTGACTTGGGCCAGACCCCTACCTCCTCGAACTTCAGTCCAGAGCTCACCCGGAGACTTTGGGGAAGAAGCACTTCTTTTGGGCTTTGAAAGCTTTCATCAGCGGATGCGCAAGGATTCGCTCTTACAGTCCTGGCTGCCTTTAAGTGCAGTAGGGGAAATGAGTTGTCGTGAGGGTTTCCATTCCAAATGAGATGTAAACCCTTCAAAATTAGGGGTCCCGTTTTGGGGTACCCATCATAAGGACTAGAGTATTTTGGGGTCTATGTTGGGGTCCCCCTATTTATGGAAACTACCTACTTATCCCCTAAGCCTACAGTCCCCCTTAAGTAGATGGAATATGGCTTTGAGTATATTATAATAGGATCCCCATATACCGCATATTCTATCCACTTAAGGGGGACCCTAAAACCCTAATCCTTAAACCCTAATCCCTGAACCCTAAACCCCAAACCTACTTCGAAAGGCAGCTGGGACGTATTTTGCTCTAGACCGCAGGGGCTGCAGACCAGCCCTCTGGCGGAGAATTCCCAGACCGCATGTCGTTGATTGGCCATGCAACCGGCAAAAAAACCCAGACCCTGAAGGATCTCAAAAATGGAGCCCCCCAATATGAATCAAGTAGTACATTGGGGAACCTAGGGGATTATTAGGGGGTTCCAATTTTTTGGATCTTTTAGGGGGTATAGGAAACCCTTGCTCGAATCTCAGGCTGTTAGCTTTGCGATTCCATGTGGACCTTTCTTCACAACATTCAACATCACAGTCTGTAATGTGCCAACTATGGAATTGATCGATCACACGGAGTCCAGTGAAAGTGGTTGAAAAGCATGGTGTTTGCATTGAGAATGCAATTGGCGGGCATTTGGTTGAGCGATGCAAAAGCCTATAAGAAGCGTATAGAGGTCAAGTTTAGAGGATGCAGAGAAGGCGAACGCCAGTTGGAGTGGCACTCCAGCCATGCTGTAACTAGTCGAACTTCTGACACCGCTAACGGCGCGCACGCGTCTCTTAGCAATAGCAGAAGGTATAGTCCCCGTTGAGTAGATAGAATACGGCTTTGGGTATATCATAATAAGATCCCCATATATCGCATATTCTATCTACCTAGGAGGAACTAGACCTACTGATGAACTCAGTGCATGGTTGCTCATCTACTTCCTGTTGATTCGTAGGGAGCAATGGAATGGATCCTTGGAGTACTTCCCTAGAAGACAGTCTTGGTAGTTAGTAGTAGAGCCTCAATCTCCCTCCATTCCTACTATTCACCAGCATGTTTAAACCCTAAATCGTAAACCAGGACATCATTTGCCGTGCCTGCACTGCTGTGCGATGCGCGTGTCTAAATCCTAAACCCTAAAGCCCAAGCCCTAAATCCTAAATCCTAAACCCTCAACCCTAAACCCTAAGCCCTAAACCCTTAAAAAACAACCGGGCTTGGGGATGGAATTGGGTTTCCGGAGCCCTACAGGGCTCTTAGCTCCAGTCCTTTTAAGTGCTATGCAAGACCCTAAACCCCAAGAAGCCTTGCGCCCCACATCCTCATGCTCCAAAAGCCCTAGGCCCGGAGCTGAGGCGAAGCGCTAGAGCAAAAAATCCCAAGCGCCCTGGGTTTAGGGTTTAGGGGCCTAAGCCGGGGCCCTAAGCTTCAGACTGCAAAACCTACATCTTGCTGGTGCAGTATTCTTATCTAACCCCCATCAACCTACATAGTCCTTCCATAATCCCCAGATAATCCCTACCCCAAGCCCTAAACCCTAAACTCCCTAAACCCTAAACCCTAAACCCTATAATCCCTACCCTAAACCCTAAACCCTAAACCCTAAACCCTAACCCTAAACCCTATAATCCCTACCCTA